TCCCTTCCCCTGGTGAATCCCAGCAATGAACTTCCCCGGGAACCCACGAGGTCCCGCTAATTGCTCACCGTCTTCTGAGTTTGTTGAGCCAGAAAGGTATGCGCCTAGCCCCGCTGGGCCTCCGTTCTTCAATCAGCAGCCTGGCTATTGGAGAGGAAGCCTGCGTGGCATTTGCTCTACACTCTCTGCGTGATCCCCTTCTTGCCGGGCCACTCCGGGGCTGTGTGTCAAACACGGGCCGTGTCCTCATAAATGTCCCCGGGCCTCTGAGGCAGCCAGGAAAGGAAAGTGGACCTATTAATGAAGCAGCTGTTTGCCAGGGTCTGTGCGCCATTGTTTAATCCCACCGCTACTCGCCAGGAGCAGGAATTGTTATGCCGGTTCCACAGATGAGCAAACTGGAGCTAAGAGATTTGATCGCAGATTTAATAAATGGCGACAGCCAGGTCTGACCCTGAAGCCTTCCCCCTAGCTCCTGGCTACCTTCCACTCGCCTGACACTGGTTTTCTCTGAATTCCTGTTGGGAAGGGTGGGTGGGAAAGGAAGAAGTGGCGATAGGAACCAGTCTGACAGCTGGTGTTGGGACTCGGAGCCCAGTTTTTGGCTCCGAACGGAGTTTTTGCAGGAGTCCTGTGCTGACCTCATTTTCTGTCTGGAGGGGCTCCCACCTGTGCTGCTTGGGGACGCAGTTGGCAGGTACCGCACCGTCCACCATCCTGCACGGGGGAGTGGGAGGGCTGGGAGTCGGACACTCGGACTCCCACCCACGGTGCCCTGTGTGGCCTCGCCCTGTCACTCTGTCTGCTAAACGATGGCTTTGGTCCTTTTCAGTCCGACATTCTGCGCTGGGACTTTCCAGGAGGCAGCAGAGAGGGGCAGGGACTGGCGTCCAGCGCTCGGCCTCAAGCCCAGAGAGAACTTGCTGAGCCAAGTAGGGCCTCAGGTCGGCTGGGGGCAGGGAGAGCCCTTGGGTGTGGGCTGTGAGTGGCGCCCCGCAGCGATGGAGGTGGGGCGATAGCCAGAGCACCCCAAACCAGATCACCTCTCAACTGTCCTGCCTGGTGGAGGAGATCTCAGTCACCTATAAAGCAGCATCTACTGCCTGAACTAGTTCGTTAAATGAGCCTCGAGGTCTTGGGGTGGTGAATTTGAGCCCCGTAGAGAAGAGTCGGAAGGAGAGCGTGGTCAAGTAAGTGTGAGCGTCAGACGCTTCTCCATCTTGGCCAGACTGTCTCAGGATAGTCACTCAGACCTGTGGGGCTTCAGCCTTGTCCTTGGTAAACCAGGGGGGAGTGGCATATGGGCTTGAGGCTGGTGTCTGTGCGTGAGTGTGTGTGAGAGTGTGTGCATGCACACTAGCTTAAATAAGAAGTGCACCTGACAGAAACGCTCTGGATTCCTGTAGGACCTGCCCTAGATCAATGCTTCCTAGCCAGGGGCAATTTTGCCCCCAGGGGACATTTGGCAAGATCCAGAGACATTTTTCGTTCTCAAAGCTTGGAGTTGCTACTGGTATCTGGTGGGCCGAAGCCGGGGGACTGCCCCTCCCCCCGACATGTAATGCCAGCCTCCACCACAAAGAGCAGCCGGGGGCTTATGCCCTGGAGATGCGGCAGTGGTGGAGGCCACATCGGCCCCACGCCCCAGGGAGCATAGCCTCATGGGGAGACAGGACGATGACAACTAGCCTGATGGGTGAGCGGCTGCCGGAGGACCCCAGTGGTGGCATCTGTCCCATGAGACCGCGAGACTGGGCCCGTTGGTTCATAGCCATGTCCCTGACTTGGCACATAGTAGGGCCTCATCAGCAAAGCTGTTATTGATACTTTGGCACTTCGCTCAGTGCTGGGCACATGAGAACCTAGTCCATACAGGAAAGGACTTCTGAATGAATCCCCATTTCTAACCCTATTTGGTGAACTTGGATGGTCTTTGAGGAGGGTCTTGCAGAATGGGGTCCTGAGGGAGGCAGATGGTGGGGGGAAGATGAGGGGCTGCAAGGGAGTCAGGCCCTTTTCCTTGTCTTCATCCAAAGCATGTCAGCTTTTTCTTTTTTTTGGTAAACCTGTTTCTCTATATTGAATTTCCTTATAAGATTTTTTTAAGACAAATAGCTTCTGAAACAAAAGTTTACAAAGTTCTCGGTCGAGGAGACAGAGACGGGGGAAAGGACTGGCCCTCGACTGGCCTAGGTCAGCAGGATGGGACTGAGAACAGCCAGCGTCTTGCTGACCTACAGCGGGGGTGAGTGGGGTGCAGGGAGCATGCTCTGTAGCCGGGGTTTGGGCAGCCTCAGTCACTGTGGGCAGCGACCTAGACAGTAGCTGACCTCTCCCTGCCAAGGCATTTGCACTTATTAAAGGCAGGCTGCCCCAGGCCTGCAACCCCCCAGGGATGAAGAGTATAGAAGCCTTCTCTGCTGTGTCCAGCCTCCCCCGCACACTTCTCAGTCCTAGGGCACTTCCTGGAAGCTTTCTGGTCCAGACTAGGTGTCTCAGCCTCGGCATCGGCATCGTCGATGTTGGGGCCAGATAATCCTGCTGTGGGGACTGTGCTGTGCAGTGTAGGAGGATTAGCTGATGATCAGCATGCTTGGACTCCGCCCACTAGACATCGATGACATCCCTGTCATGACAATCAAAAAGGTCTCCAGACATTACACATGCCCTGGAGGGACAGAAGCACCCCCTGTTTTGATAAACGCTGTAAGAGTTCTCAGCGGCCTCACGTCTGAGCCTCAGCATGACCTTGAACACAAGGAGGGGCTCCATGAGGCGCCTCCAGCTCCATTCAGAGGTTCTCAAACATGTAAGGGAGACTGGCCAGGGTTCAGCCCATACCTCAGGTCGCCTAGGAAGGAAAAGAACGTGTGGGATAGAAAGGTTTTGCCAGGAGCATGCTTGGGAAACCCTGGCGGCTGGGATTGAGTCTTTTCTGTTCCGAAGGAGGATGCGGGGTCTGGCGAAGGCTGACGGCTGTTCGTGATCACAGCACTGGGGACCAAGGAGAGCTGGCTAGACCAGGCAGAACTATGGCATATGGGCTCGAGGCTGGCGGCAGAGACTTGTTTTCACTCTTGTGGGTTAGTGATTATTTAGGAGTGAATTTAAATACGAGGATTGCTCTTAAGCTGCATAAAACCTGTTCACCTACCTACTCAGCAAGCGACTTGTAGCCTGATTTTGCACCTGGTATAATGCTAGGAGCTACAGATGAGGCAGGGAGACAGGTAGGCTACCTGTCCTGGGAGCCTACTGTGGGGGGAGGGGAGGGGGTGAAGAAGGCCTGCTGGGGGCAGTGGGGGACCCCACCCTCACTCTGGTGAAAGGTGGAGTTCTTTTGCTCTCGGCATGAAGGGTGGCGTTGCCTGGGCTTCTGGAAAGTTCCCTGGGCTGTGTAGGCGAGGTGTCCCTCGGGTCAGGGTCTCGGGACCACGAACATGCTGAATTAGCAAGGCTGACAGACCTCTGCTTTTCATGCCTCCTGCCTCCGAGCTGGCCACTGCCCAGGAATGTTCAAAATATAAAACCGACTTTGTTTTCAGAATGTTCTGGAGCCTAGACTCCAAAGGCTGCATAAAGGCATTCTTGTGGGGCTGGTTATCTGCTGGCGAAAGTCATGCTGGGGCCCAGGCCAGCTCATCCCAGGGGATCCGCCTGCGGAATGCCATGTGCTGGCACCAGGGTGGGTGGGGGTGGCCCGGGCTCTGTCCTTGTTGACCCCTGAGAGGTGTTTTACAAAGAAGATTCTTATGGGTTCTGGAAGCTTTATCTTCAAAGGCTTGAACTCTCTCTGGCTGTTAGGTCTGTGGGGCCTTGGGTGGCTCAGGGCCTGGGGTTTCTGTTCTGGAACGGAGCAAGAGAAGGCCCTCACTCAGGCTGGGTTTCACCAATTGTCCAGATTCAGGGTTCGGAAGGTCTGGGCGCGTGAGCTGCCTGGTACCTGGATCCCTCTGCCACTTACTCCTTCTGCCAGCCCTCTGCCTGCGGCACTCAACCTTCTCTCTACTTTCTTTGTGCCTCGCCCCATGTTGGTGGGCGCTTCGTGCTTCTGGTTTGACTTTCTTTCTGTAAGAATAAATGTTTATACTTTAACTCCCAGATCAGGCTCCCAGGAGTGTGCTCAGTACATGTCACCGCCCAAGCCTTGCGCCCCAGGGAGTCCATTTGGCAGCATTCCACAGCCCAGGCTGTCACCTCCTGGTCCCTCTGCTCCTGCCTGTGTCAGAACAAGGTGGGGGGCCTCCTCTGACCAAGCCCCCTCCACTCTCTACCCACCCCAGCTCTCCTACCCCCTGCTTTGGCTATAAAGTGCTTTTTCCTTTGTAGGTCCTTTTTTATTTGAAAATCCCACTGAGCATCAGCCCTGTCAGACCCTGGGCTTGAGGTTTTCCCCACCCCTACCCTTCAACCCCTCCCCCTCCCCCAGCAAGTAGCAGAGAGCCTTGCCCAGAGGTGGACTTGGGGCGTGCGTATGGCCACCCTCTGTTGGGACTACTTTGAGGATGAAAGAAGCTCGTGTCATGCCTGTACAGGGTGGGCCTCCCTTGACCTTCTGTCCCCTTTTGGGTGTCATCCTGGGGCTGCCTGGCTTTGGGATCAGTGGTATGGGTCCCCTGCTAAAATGTATCAACAAATGTCCCGGGCGTGGTGGGCCTGGGCAGGGGCGACGTGGTTCTGAGTGTTGATCCATCCTTCATGGGAATGGTAGTCAGTAGTTGCTTCTGAAGCCTCAGTTTCTGTCCCAGGAAATCTACTGCCCCAGCACCCAGGGGCAAGGCTGGGATGGGCCAGGGTGTCCCGGGAAGTCTATTGCTCCAGCCCCTGGGGTATGGGATGGGCCAGCTGGGTCCCAGGGGCCTTACGACCTGTAATTTGAGGTGCATGAGGTAAGACCTGCTGGGCACCGTGAAGGCCCAATCTCTGGCCTCAGGTTTGCTTCCCTCAGGAAATAGCTCACAGCAGGAAGTGCTAACCTCCTGGCCTTTGTCCTCTCGTAGGCAGGTGACAGCACGGACATGTCTCGGGAGCTGCAGGATGTGGACCTCGCCGAGGTGAAGCCTTTGGTGGAGAAAGGGGAGGTGAGTGGAGATGCTCCTGGCTGTCACCATCACACGCCACTCACACATGGGCACATGTGTGCACACATGCACACACACGTCCACTGCTTCCTTGTTTCCACAGGTCATCTTGTCCAGGAATGCAAAAGGACAAGAGGTATCTGTTCAAGTCCCAGCCTGGCCACCAAGTGCCGTGGCATGTGGACCAGGCCCCTGGCCCACCTCTCTCTGCTTTTCCGCCCACACTTCCCCTACCCCGCTATGGAAAGTAAGGGCGTTGCTCTAAGCACCCCCTACCTCTGACATCCTGTGATTCTGGAACATGCAACAGGAAGTCCATCGCCCACACTCTGGTGTCCTCAGGCCAGGGCGAGGATAGGGTGGGTTAACTCAGAAGGAGCTAATTGGAACCTTGCGTGGTGTGGAGGAGGTGAGCCATGCACGTGAGCTCTTGTTGCTATAGTTATCGATTGTTCACTTGAACCTTTCATGTCGACCAGGCCTCCCTGTTGGAAACAGCGGCCCATGTCCTAAGGCCTGAGCTAGCGTGGTCCATCCCGGACCGGTTGTCCTGCCGATGGACGGAAGAAGCCTTTACATCCGCACAGTTAGCATCGTACTTTTAAGCGGGGTCCATATCCCAGTTCTCACTGAGCTGCAAAACGGCCTCCTAAAAAGATGATGCACCTTTTTAAAAATGTAAAACTCAGGCTCAAATGGGAAGTCAGCTAAATGCGTTCAAAAATAATCATCGACATGTATGCATCGCGTCCCGCAGGCCTGTCTCTGGGCCAGCCCTATTTCTTGGATTGTCTCATGCCAGCCGAGAGGGTGAGACTGTGGGTACAGAAGAGGAAGCTGAATCTCGGGCAGGTTAATTTGTCTTTGGTCGTATAGTTACAGTGTATGGGGCCTGGAGCCAAAGCCAGGCCAGCCGCCTTTGACGAATGGAAGATTCCTTTAATTTCCTTATGACCCTGTGTGGCTGTTCTGTTTTAGGTCCTTTATCTCGTAGATCTTTCATTTCCAATATGTGAGGCAACTATCAATATTCCCATTTTACAGACACAGAAACTGATCTCTGACGGGAGAATTGCCTGGATAGGTGGCACCACTAGGATTAGCAGCCCAGGGGGGCTATGGGATGCTTGTCACCATTCTACACTTGGGGTCTGCAAATGCTTTCAGTAAGGGCCAAATAATAAACACCTTTGAATTTACGGGCCCTACTGGCTGTTGCCTCTACTTGGCTTTACGGTTACACCGTGAAAGAGCTTGCTGTTGCCGTGTTCCAATAAAACTTTATTTACAAAAACAGGCGGCAGACTGCGGTTTGCCGACCCATGCTGTTCAGTATGCATGCTCCAAATCTAGGCAACTCTGGTGAAAGATGGAATATGGGCTGGAAACTCAGAATTGTAGGGTCGAGGGAAATGCTCATAGATCTCTGCTCTCCGCTTCCATCCGTGAGAGACTGAATTTTAATCCAGACGATGGGCAGCCACGAAAGAAATTTAAGGAGAGTAACACGGTCAGCCTTGAGATTTAAAAGCGTAGCATGTGATCAGAGACCGGGAGACCAGTTAATAGGCAAGTGTGTCCGGTTCTCTCTCAAGCTTGTGGTCAGCTTAAACCTTCAGATCTTTTTTTCACCAGGGCTGGAGTCAAAAATGAATCTGGCTAATGTGTCTGCTTTCCTGCTGGACTATTTGGGATGAAAAGGAAAGTTTGCTTTGTAAGGAATGAGGGAGGATCCACGGAGGAGGGAGATACAGACTCGGGGCTTGGAGAAGCCTGTGTTACAAAATTAGTTCTTTGCCCAAGGAAACTTGATGAAACTGACCATCTGTCTTGTCTCTCCACAGACCATCACTGGCCTCCTGCAGGAGTTTGACGTTCAGGCAAGTAGCGGATGTGGATTCCCTTTGCCCCTTCCCTACCCTGAGTTCTCTTTCTTTCTTCCTTCCATTGATTTGAAGTAGATCATTGTCCAGACCCTGGGGATGAGGGGAGAGAAGGCGGCTAGTTTCCCACACTCAGATCCTTCTCTCAGATAGAAGCGGGTTTGAGTTCTGGCCAAGGGAGCCCATCAGTCTTTGTAGAAGCAGGATGGAGACATGGCCCCCTTTGACCCTGCAGAGCTGGGCAGAGCTGTGGGGCGTGTGCAGGAGAAATGGGAAGACTGTGAGTGGGCTTGGGACCCTGTGATGGGAGGGGAACAAGCAAAGGCTTGATGTTCTTGGCTCTGCTTGGGAAAGTGAAACCAGCCTTCTCTGTGGCTTCCTGGCTCCATCCCTGCCCAGAGTTGGCTTCAGGGCAATTGGCTGGGTGTGGGTGGAGGGGCGGGGAAGGTACCTCTTGAGCTTCACCCAAGAACAAACTTTCAGGATAGCTGTCTGGCTTCTCTTGGCCGAAGGGTGGGTCAAAGCCTCAGGAACTGTAAATCTTGGCTCATTAATTACCCGAAAGTTTGCATGGGCCCCAGGCTGTGCTAGAACCTGGGGTTGGGGCAGGAAGCCTGAGCACGCTGGGTTCTTGTGGTCCCAGAGAGGTTGAGAGGAGCAAATACAGGCCAGATGCAGGCTGATGTGCTCACCTGAACCTCTACCTGCACATCACACAGGTATCTCTGGCTTCCAGCCCATTCTGAGCTCTACATCTCTACCATCCATTCCAGCATCTCCTCTGGGGTCGCTGGGAGTGGGAGTGTCCGCAGGGTGGCCTTGGCTGATCCTGCAGCCTTGTTAGAGCTGGAAGCAGGGCCATCTTGCGGGCTCAGCTCATCTTTGTGCTTAAAAGCAGGAGAGGGGCCTGGGATAGGTGGGCAGCTTTCTGGGGTCTAAGACTGAGCCTGGAAGGGGCTCCGAGCGGCGCAGGCCCCAGGACCACGGCCGGGCACCCACCCTTGCCCACCAGCGTTCCGCTGAGTCTGGTTGTTTTGTCCCGCCGAGACTCAGACGGTCACCTCCCTGTGCCTACTTGGCCATCACTGGGTTGGGAGGACCTGAATCCATCATTTCATGGGTTGCATTAGCACCTAGAACACAGACCTCGGTCTTCAAGGGGTGCACTGTGTCATGGTGGCCTCCGGTTTGACGTTCCTACTGTATTTATTTAGGAGGAAGAGAGTCAGAGATGAGAAGTTATTGGCCTGAGGTCCCCTTAGTGACGGGGGAGGTGGCCCTAGAGCCTGGGCCTTCCTCCTCCCAGCTCCGAGAGCTTCCTGTTCCGCTTACTCCCCAGGAGGCTGGTTTAGGGGGGCTTCCTGTGAGCCAGGCACTGTGCTAAGGGCTTCGCAGCCAATATCTCATTTAACACCTCAACAATAGCATGAGCAGAGGTACCATTATCCTCATCGTTCAGGTGGGGAAACTGAGGCCAGAGGGGTGGGACTGCCTGACCGTGAGGAAGCCGGGTTCTTACTGTGCTGAGGCCTCTGCTTCTCCCGACTTCAGGCCTGGGCTCCATCCATGTGTCTCTGTCTCGAAGGACACTCAGCTCGTGGGAGGTGACCTCGAGTCTCAGGGAGCCTGGGTTCCTCTAGTCCAACTGCTCATGTCACAGCTGGGGACTGAAGGACAGAGGAAGGGGGCGTCATTGGTGCAGGGCGCACAGTGCGGGGAGCTAAGAATCATGGTGCCCGGTCCTGTTTTAATCAGTCCGCCCTCACGAGATCAGGGAGAACTGGGTGACAGGGAAATTGGAGCTGTGAAAACTGCAGCAGCTGTGGCACCCGTGACCCTGGCTGTGGCACC